GCTCCTCAGTTCCAGGAAAGCACAGCAGCTCCCCAGCTCCGGCAAAGGGCAGGGCTGCTGATCAAACAGCCTTGTTTGCTCAAGGCACTGTGTGTTTTGACACAGCAATGCTTAGCACCTCAGCACAGCAAACCAAGCAGGCTGGAAAAATTTACACCATTGTTGTCCTCTGTAAAAATATCAAATCCACACAGTCTAGAAGAAAAGATTATTAAGGTTGGATTTTTTCACCCCACACTGTAGGAAAAGCATATAAACTGATGAGTGAGGAAATGACCTAACTAGTTTATTGCTTTGAAATAAAAGCTGCCCAGCAGAGTCACTTGCCTTGCAGCCTTTCAAACCCCAGAGGTCCAGGAAGCAAAGTCATCCCCTCCCAGTATTTCTGATTTTCATTTCCCTGTTGAACACACTGAAAGGATGGGTGAACCTGCCAACATGCCTGAGAGCTGCTCACATGAATAAAGGCTGGGAGAGTCCCCTGGCAGCAGCTCCCACCATCACCAACCCCAGACTGGTGAACAAGTTTTGCTTTGAGTGTTTGTGGCTGATGAGAACAACTTAACTTCCTCCTGCAGATACAGCTCGTCCAGCCCTGTGCCTAATGTTTCCTACAGGATTACACAATCCAAACCAACTCATTTGTGATTCACCTTTCAAAGGCAGAATCATTGACACTGTTTCTGTAACTTACGGGGTTGCTTGGGTCTGAAACTTTCAGTTTCAGTTGAGTTAGTGCTGTCTGCAACCTTGTATTTCCATTTATTCTCATTTACTAATTTATTCTCATTTTACACTCATTTACTGCCTTTGCACACACTTGTGCTTTGCAGTATTTATTGTCAGACCCTCAGACAGCACCTCTGAGCATGCCATGAAGCCTTTACAAAAAGGAGGGACAAGGTTTCACCTTTGTGTGAAGGTAGGTATCTGCCTGAACCAGCTCCCAAAAAGCTGAAGGCACCTGGCTCTCACAGCCCTGCTGTTAGTCCTCACCAGTCAAGGGGGCTGTTCTGAAATACAATTTACACCCAGAAATAGGAAGCTGATAGATCTGACCCTGGAGAAGAACAGATGTTCCTGGATGCTGGCACAGAAGCACTGCATGAAATTGGGAGTTACTTTTTTGGTGGCTTTCCTGTTCTGCCTTCCTTACCAACACATTGAGAGGTTTCTGTTGCAGCAGCTGCCAGTCTACACCAGTGCTGGAGTGTCAGCACTGAGCTGTCAGGCTTTTTAATCTGGTCCCCAGGTGGGTTTTATTTGAAATCACTAGAGACATTCTTGCCAAGTGTGATGACTGGTACTACAGAGTGGGAACGGCACATTTGAGTACATCCTGTCAATGAAAGAGGTTGAGGCCTTTGGTAAAGCCAGGATTAATAAATGACAATCTGGAATTAACAGAAAGAGCCAGATACAGATATTTAACAAGTAAACTCTGCTAATGGCTCTGACACACAGCCCTGAGCAGCTGCAGAGCACAGATAGCAGAGATGAATGGAGGGTAAGGCAGAACAGCCACTCTGCACTGCTGAAAACAAGGCAGGAAATACACAGAGTAGAAGCTGGAAAGCAGAATCAGCTTCTCAGCTGCTCACAAATCTGAATGGAGAGCCAGAATTCAGGTGTTATCTTCCCTACAATACTACAAAGCTAAGCTCTGGGAAATACAAACATACAAATACAAGCAGGTGTCATGGAAGCCAAGTGACAACACCCAGCACAGGAGATCAAATGACAGCACATTGAACCATGCCCCAAGTTGTTATTATTATTATTATGTTATCAGACACACAGAAACCAAAAAGCTCATGGAATGGTTTGGGCTGGAAGGGATCCCTAAAGGCCATCCCCTTGCAATAACACAGGGAGGGAGGTGAAAGCCAAGCACACCCAACACAGACCTGGCAGTGCACAGCAGCTTTACACTCAGGAGAGAACAGAGCTGGGGAAGGGTCTGCAGAATCCCTGAGGAGCTGGGCAGGGGCTGCAGAATCCCTGAGGAGCTGGGCAGGGGCTCAGCCTGGAGCAAAGGAGGCTCAGGGGCCCTTGTGGCTCTGCACAGCTCCTGACAGGAGGGGACAGCCATGGGGATGGGGCTCTGCTCCAGGGAACAGGGACAGGACAAGGGGAAATGGCCACAAGTTGTACCAGGGAGGTTTGGATTGGATATTGGGGAACATGTCTACACTGAAAGTGTGATTAGGCATTGGCACAGCTGCTCAGGGCAAGGGTGGAGTGCCCATCCCTGGAGGGATTTAAAGGCTGTGTGGATGTGGCACTTGGGGACATGGGTCAGTGATGGCCTTGGCAGTGCTGGGGAATGGTTGGACTCGATCTTAGAGGGCTTCTCCAACATAATTCCATAATTTGGGTGTATATATCACATCTTCCTTTGTGTTCCTTTATGGAAAATGAAAACTCCATCAGACATTAATTGCTTCCCCCTCCCCAGGGCAGATGCTGCAGCAGATAAGGTCACAGGGCTGATTTTAAAGCCTGTCCCTGCTCTGACATTCACTGCCCTGGGTCACCTGTGTCACTCCCTCCTGGCTGAACACTCTGGCAGCACCTCCAGCCCTGTGAGCTCAGCAGGGACCTGTTGCAACACACATACACACACTTTGGCCATGTGGTTGTACAACCACCACCACCACTGAGCTTTTACCTGAGGAACCTTTCCTGGGAGGATGGAACTTGCAGCTATTGTAAGAGCCCCTCATCTTATGCCTGTTGCAGGGATAAAATGGAAACACTCCTCAAAACACACCCTGAAAATCCCTGCTTTAACCTCTGCCTACCCAGACAGCTCCACAGGAGGAGCTGAATAAGCTGCAAAATAAAAGCCTGGGAAAACAAGAGGTGGGGCTGCTTCTTGTCAGGATTTTGGGGAGGGTTTGGGCTGGTTTTGGTTCATTTTCTTTTTCATTTGCTGGTCCAGTTGCCAGCCTGGCCAGGCAGAGAGCTGGATTAGTATATCCAAGGGAACAGCGCAGGGTGCTGCAGCAGGGACAGCAGCAGTCCCACAGCTACTCTTGTGCCCAAATGTTCTGTAGGATTCATCAGTCATTTAAAACTCTGTAAGAAGACTTTACTCATATTGATTCTCCTAACAAACTCTTCATCCACCACTTTGCTATCTGCTGTGGGCTTGTGCTTCAGCTGCAGCTCTTCCTTCTGTCTGGCTGGGAAAAGTGGAAGCTGAGCATCCTGCAAGAAGGCGTGAATGGCTGGAAAGTAAAAGGATTCCCCTCCTGACACAGGAAGGAATGTTAGTGTCCCAGCCTGACATGATTTCCTAAAAAGAAAGAAGCAGTCCAGGAGCAGAGCACGAGCAGTGACATTTTCTGTCCTTGGATATAATACAGATCTCCCCCATGGATAATCAGAGGGGAGCATCAGAACTACTCTGCTTAATTAAATGAATGTGAGAGATTAGAAGATCCCAGAGAACCCAGCTTGGAGCAGAAAAAAGTTTTTAAAATTACTTCAGGTAACGTGAGCACACAAAACCGGCAGCGAGGTAAGAGAGGACTTGAGAAGGGCAGCAACCTCATCCAGGTTCAGCACAGAAATTCGTGCTCAAGTTATCACTGGAAACATTCCCTGTGCTAGAGCCTGGCAGGATGGCTGAGAGACCTCCTGTGTTTTACAGCAGGAAAGTTAATCCCAGTAAACAAAAGATGAAACCTAATGAAACCTCACCTCAAACACACCGTGCAGCAGGACTAAGAGAGGAACAAGGATGGTCACTGCAGCCCAGAGCTGCTCCCAGTTGTGAACCAAAAACCTGGCTTGATCTGAAAGGCAGAGCAACTTCCAGGGCAGAAATGCTGTTCCTGGGACACAATAGTGGCACAAGAGTTTAAGCTCTTGGCCGTGAGTAAGTGAATGCTGGAAGTTGTAGAAATCTGATTTCGAAAGAGCCTACAGCAGAGAAATAAAAAAAGAAACTGAACACAACCCCCAGCCTTTAAGTTGAAGCACGGTGCCCTCAGAAAAGGGCTCTGATGTGGCAGCAGGAGCTCCCTGATGCCATCAATAGCACAGTGCAGCCTTTGCTTTGGGCAAAGCACCCTGATGGAGCCTGGGGCAGGCTCAGCACCCCAGTGCCGATTCCAGAGAGCAGGGCAGGAGCAGCCCTTCCTCAGCCACACTCAGGGATCCTTGCTGGCTCTCTCTGCATCCCTCACTGACAGGAACTCGCCTTCACTGTAAGAACGAGCAGAAAGGGGAATTCCCAAGCTCTCCAGGCTCTTTTTTACTGTTTGTACTGGGTACAGTCCAAGAGGCTGAGAAGAGGAAAAGTGATGTAAAAAGATGCATTTTCAAGCAGTATTTACCCTGCATTGGAGTCATGAATTGTTGATGAGAACATATCCCAGCCAGTTCCTTTCCTCACACCCTCACCCAGCTGGAGCAGGGATGTGAGCCTGGGGTTCCTCGGCACACCTGCACTTGCTGCTGGGACCCTGAGATGGGGAAGGGATCTCCCTGTCCTCTTCCTTTCCCCTCGCCTCGCTTCCTTAAGTTTCACTCCCACCTTTGAACAACCTCACTTGATTAAAGCATCGGCAGAACGGGACTTTTCCTGAGAAAATTCAAACCCCTTCTGTCTGCTAATGGGAATAAACCTGGATTGGATTGGGTTGGATTGGATTCCCACCGTGTCCGAGCACAGCCTCGCTCGGCCGGGGAGGGAGGAAGGACGGAACCCACGAGTTCCTAAGCCGGGGCTGGAAAAGTTTCCATCAGAAGAGAGAAAGCAAAAGCACTTGCTGTGCTCGCCCAAACGAGAGACTTACGACAGAATGGAAACTTTACCTGCACAGAGTTTAATTAAAAAAAAAAAAAAAAAATCGGGATATTTGGGGAGGGAGAGGACAGCGAGGCGCACAGGTGATAACGAGCTGGGTGACGCGGTGACAGGGCAACGATCAGTTCTCATCAATTGATCAATCCCAGCTCCATCCCCGCGGCCCCGGAGCGCTCCCTACCCGCGATGGTCTCCTGGTAGCCCTTGGTGAAGAACTGCATGGCCGTGGCCGCCCTCCAGGGCGTCTTGAGCAGCCCCTGCCGCTGCGGGTCCTCGCCCAGCGCCCGCAGGATGGAGGTGTACGCGGCGGCCAGGCCGGGCAGGCTCAGCTCGTTGTCCTCCTCGCTGCGGGGCCGCTCTCCCCGCCACCCTTCCCCGCTGCTGCCGCTCCCGGTGCCGGTGCCCGGGGCCCCGCGCGGTTTCTCCGCGGCCGCGGGCGGGGAGGGCGGCGGCTCCCGCCGTGCGCACCCGTTCCAGCCCCGCGCCGCCTCCATGGGCAGCGCCGTGCCCGAGCGGGGCCGAGCCGTGCCCGAGCCGTGCAGCCCCCGGGCCGGCCCTGCCCGTCCCGGCCCCAGCGCCGCCGCTTTTATCCCGCCCGCGCCGCCCCCATTGGCCGCCGCCGCTGCCGCCGCTGCCGCCGTGCGGGGCCGTGCTGCCGGGAGGGGAGGGGGTGCTCCCGATGGGGGTACGGAACAGGGGGGATCCCCCGGATGGGGACTGGGTGGGGACAGCGGAGACCCGAGGGGACCCCGGGCTGGGGTGAGCGCTGAGGTGGAGGCGGCACCCGGGGCTGGGGGGACCCCAGGGGATCCCGGGGGCTGAGGATTCCCGGGGGTACGGGGGATCTGAGGGGACCCCGGGCTGGGGTGAGCGCTGGGGGTGGAGGGGGTGCCCCGGGTTCGGGGGATCCCAGGGGCTGAGAATTCCCGGGGGTACGGGGGATCTGAGGGGATGGGGTGAGCGCTGGGGGTGGAGGCGGCACCCGGGGCTGGGGGAGTCCCAGGGGATCCCCGGGGGTTGGGAGCCTGCCTGGGGGTGCGGGAGGGTCCCTGGGCTGAGGCGTGGGCCGGGGATACCGAGGGGATACCCGGGGCTGGGGATACCCGGGGGTACGGGGGATCCGGGGGGATCCCCGGGCTGGGAGTGCGGGGGGATCCGAGGGGATCTCGGGGCTGAGGGTACGGGGGGATCCCTGGGCTGAGGGATGTGCTGGGGGTACGGGGGGCTCCTGGATCACAGGGGATCCTTGGGCTGAGGGTACGGGGGATCTCGGGGCTGAGGGATGTGCTGGGGGTGCGGGGGGGCTGCTGGATCACAGGGGACCCCCCCACGCTGAGAGCCGGGCTGGGGGTGCAGGGGGGTCCCCGGGCTGAGGGCATGGGGGGGATCTCTTTTCTGTGGGAGCATCCCAAGAGATCTCCAAGATATGGGATCCTCCAGGATGAGGTGTTCGAGCAGCGGGGAATGCCCTGGGCTGGGGCTATGGGAGCATCCAGAGGGACCCCTGGGCTCAAACCTGGTCCAGAGGTTCCAGGAGGGAATCCCACAGACTGAGGTGTGCTGGGGGCATGGAGGCATCACTGGGGCTGAGGATGTGGGGCACCCCCAAGGCTGAGATGTGTGATGGGGTACAGGGGGACCCCCCAGGCTGGGGGCACAGTGGGAATCCTTGGGCTGAGGCATGAGAGGAGGGTGCAGGGAGACCCCCCAGGCTGGGGGTATTGGGGTTCTGCAGGCTGAGGTGTGGGTTGGGGTTATGGGGGGATTCAGGGCTGAGGGGGAGCTGGGAATTCAGCCCCAAGCTGCTGTAGGGGTTCCCCTTTCATTCCCCACCATGGGGAGGGCTGTGAGGAGCCCAGGGTGAGCAGTAAGGGAATGGGGATGGATGGGGCAGGTCCTGCTGGGATGCAGGTTCGTGTCGGATTTGGGGCTGTTTAGATGGTCTGGAAAAAGCCCGAAGATGGCCTTGGGCCACCCGGGTTCGAAAGGACGAGAGGAAACTTCAGATCTGTTCTCGGTCTCGGTGTTTATTAATTGCTTATCTAAAAGATTTTCTCTTGGCCTGACAGAGTTCTGCTCAGCAGTCAGCCATGGGCACACACTGAGAGCCCCTGGGGCGGCCACCTATCTTTATACTTGGAGTTACGTATACAATATTTATCATTTTTCTCCAATACCCTCTACCCTTATTAACCAGTGTTCCCCTAGTAAGGTGCAATCCCAGAATGCCAACATCACCACAGAAGATGGAGGCCTAGAGGAAGAAGAAGAAGGAGAAGGGCACGTCCCAATTCCTCCATCTTACCTCTCTAGACCCCCCCGTACAGAAATCTTAAACCCTTTGTCTCACACTCCAATTAACTTATCCCTTCACCATTCACCCCGGTGAAATCCTCCTATCCTCATACTGATGTCATCTCCCCTGTGGGATCAAAGTCCAGCCACCAGACATTTCTGGCAACATTCCAGGACTCCCGAGCCCCCCAGGGGTGGTCTTGTTCACCCTGCACCCCAATTCTGAGAGGCTGAGATCCCACAGGTTCGTGCCCTTCACAGCAGCTCCCAGCATCATTCTCCATGTACTCCCCATCCCCTCAAACTCCTAGAGCTGCTCCCTTTCCCACAGGGTGCTGTTGGCACATCCTGCCCAGTCACTCCCTGGCACTGCTGGAATGCCACCACCACCATTCTGAGGTCCCTGCGGTTGGGATGCGGTCACCAGAATGATCCCAGGCATGGACTGACCCTCCTTGGTGACCATTCCCACCCCCGATCCCAGCTGGGCTTCCATCCATCCCTCCAAACCCCTGGTCTCTGCAGGCACCTTCCTGCTGCAGGGCTGGCATGTCCCAATGTTCCCATATTCCCACCCAGGAATCTGGAAATGTGCTAACTCTCACGACCAAGACCAAATATTTTGAAGTTTCCATGGGGAACTTATTGATGTGCCACCCTAAAAGGTGGTTTGAGCATCCTGCATCCTCCTGGGCACTTTTGGGGCAAACCCAGCAGACAGAGCACAGCTTGGGTTCAGGAGTTGGTGAACAAATAAATGCTGGGGCAGATTTTTGGAACACAGGTCCCCTCCAGCTGGAGCTATTCTGGGATTTTATGAGCTGGAAACTGAGTCTGAAGGCTCAGCTGAGCATAGGGTGAATGCTCCATCACCCAAGCACGAGCAGGGGGACTCACATTTTCTGGATTGCAATCAAATAAATGGCCAGGATCTAAAAGAGCCACAAACCCTTCTCTTCACTCCACTGATCCTTAAGGCAGCAGGGACAAATTGTCCCCCTCTTGTGCCTAGGAAATGGTGAATTGCTGGGAAGATAAGGAGGGGAAGGAGCTGGCAGAGGGTGGGGTGTGACTCACTGGCTTTCCTCCTCCTCCTCCTGACACAAGAGCTGCATTTAACTAAGCCAAGCAAGAGAAAAAAAAAAAAAAAAGAAAAAAAATACCCCAGCAGCTGTAACACACTATTTCCACATTTATAATTTGGTTTCTGATCACAGGTTTCAGCAGAAGAGCCAGGATGACTCAGGTGAAATGCAGGGCCCTGCAGCCAGCCCGGCTCTGTTCTGTGTTATTGCCCCGGGCTCTGCTCAGGAACAGGAACTGCTGCTCCACAAGGGTTTGGAGCCCTGAGCTGCATCCCTGCTCCTCCCCAGACTCCCTGCTCATCTCCCAATCCTCTGAGGGTGCTCAAATCCTCTCTTTGAACCAGACAAGTTCCCTCACTCTGCTGTGGGCCTCGGCAGAGGGACCACGCTTCCCTTTGGATCAGAGGGCTGGGAAATTCTCCCGAGGAGCTTCAAACCACTGAGACCCAGCCAGCCACACAGAAAAGGGCTTAGCAAAGGCCATCTAGGCATCTTGGCCCTCCCCAGGCTCTGCTCTCTTTGTTTCCTTGGGAAAGAAGATAAGCTCCCTCTGGAGTCAGCCCCGACGCTGTAACAGCCTGAGCTGAGCTGCTGTGGGAGCTGGTTGGAATTCTCCTATTTATGGGGCAAGAAGGGCAGGTTCCAGCTTATTTACCAGCCTGATCACTGCTTGGCTGTGCAGAAAATCACTTTTTCTGAGGGTGTTTGAGCAGGGGTTGCACACACAGGAGCTGATGCCAGCAGTTCTGTTAATGGCCTTTGCCAACATGGAATTTGTAGGTTCAGGTAATTGGGATTTGTGCCAGGATGGGGAAGGACACAGCCCCATTTCCAGGCACAGTGGAGTCCTCTCCCTTTGAAACACAACCTACATCAGCTGGGTGAGATGAAGCACTGAGACTTTTGGGTTTTTGAAGTATATTATGATGAGATTTTATTGATAGCTCCCTGTTATTTACACCCCATGTTCTCATTAAGCCTTCTCAAATAAGTTTTTCTTTGCTATTTCTGAATACATAACAAAAAAGTGAAATACAGACTATAAACAAGAAGAATCAGTGAATATTTAAGGTTGGAAATGACCTCTGAGACCATCAAGTCCAACCATTAACCCAGCACTGGCAAGGCCATCACTAACCCATGTCGCCAGGTGCTACATCCACATGGTTTTTGAACACTTCAAGGGATGGAGACTCCAAAGTCTATTTCAATGCCTGGCCACCCTTTCAGTGTAGACATTTTCCCCAATATCCAATCCAAACCTCCCCTGGCACAACTTGTGGCTGTTTCCCCTTGTCCTGTCCCTGTTCCCTGGGAGCAGAGTCCCATCCCCATGGCTGTCCCCTCCTGTCAGGGACTTGTGCAGAGCCACAAGGGCCCCTGAGCCTCCTTTGCTCCAGGCTGAGCCCCTGCCCAGCTCCCTCAGCCTCTCCTGGTGCTCCAGACCCTCCCCTAGAGGGAATGTGCCCTGGTTTGCCCTCCTCTGCTTGCTTACAGCTTGGAGGGCTTTTTCACAGTTTAAAGAGAAGAAATCCTTAAAGATCAACAGAACAAGGAGTGCAAAAAATCGTGATACTGCAGCTTGGATTATTTTCAAATGTAGAACAAGGTTTAGAGGAGGTGAAAGCCCTGTGCAGCCACTGAAGGGTGCTGGGGGTCCCTGAGAGAGCCAGGGGATGCTGCTGGGGGGCAAGGTCCATGGGAAAGCCCTTCAGAGGCCTCTCTTGTCTTTGAAAGTGGGGAAAATATCTAAAAGGGACAGGATGGAGCAGGTCTGTGTTGAGGCTCCACTCCTTGACCTGTTTTAGTCTGTGTTAGCTTTGGTGGGACCCAGCTGGGAAGGGCTGGAGCATCATCCCCTGTGTGTGAAATGTGATTTTCAGGGTTGCAAGAGTGGAGTTCCCAAAAGAAACCTCTCCGTGCCAAGGCTAAGGATGAAACACCCTGGGCAGTCCTCACTGGGGCAGGTGAATCCATCAAAAAGGAGTCTCAAAGGGAATCTCTGCACCAGCAGCTGCTAAAATCTGTCAGGATAAACAGGACTCATGCACAGAACACACCTGCTTTTCCTCTGTTGGCTACAAAATGGGATCATCCAGGGCTGGGCTCAGAGC